TCGTAATTTTTCAAGTTATGGAAGAATACTGGTATTTTCTTTGTTACTTTATAGTTTAAATTACAATCATTATGGGCAGCTCCACGGTATTGGCCATTTGAATGACAATGTTCTCGTACCCTATCAAAATATAGAGGCTTTTCACAAATATGACAATGTGTTGAGTTTTGGAAAGATGCCTCTTGCTCAGGAGTCATTACAAGGGGAATATATATCGCCATTTGACTTTTAATAAAATCATAAGTCTCAAATAATCTTTCAAAAAACACATCCATAACATTTGCACCACTATATAACTCTTCAGAAATAATCTTAGAATCTTTTACTACGACAAATGCAAATCCCGATGGAATATGTATATTGGAGTTTATAAAGCACTCAAAATCAGCATAAATCACAAATGGGGCTTTAAGTTGATATTTATAATTTTTAAATTGTAATGTATCTTGTTTAGACATTTCCACTCTTTGTGCATCAAAGTTCTTACAATATGTTATATGACATTCTAATTTATCTTTGGTGTAAAAATGTTGTAAACAAAACTTGCAAAAATACTTCTTGTGGTCTTGTTTCGTAGACCGTAGCATTAACCTATCAAAATCACGAATTAAACAGTAATGTGATTTACGACCTTGTAGTAATAATAATAGATCTATGTGAGCATTACTATTCAGTTTGGTTCTTCTTAATGGATATATAAATTTTTGGTCTTCAACTCCAAATACATTAACACTTATATTATTTTGTCTTTCAAATTTATCTATATCAGATATTTTAACAGGATACTTTATGTTTGTCATATTTAACTGATTTTCATAGGGTGCATATTTCGATACCCTTTCAGCATGTTTAGCATTCCTTGGATGTAAAGCTGCTAAAATTGACCAAAGGAAGCATTTATTATCAGCATTCTTTATATTTAAAACTGCTTTTGTCAATTTAATACTTTTTGGTGTGGGGATATATGACTTTGGAGTTAGGGGCTTATACTTGTAAACGTGCAACTGCCAATATTTAGTATGGTCATAAATCCATCCACTGCCTTCGGCTTGATATTTGTGTATGGAAGCATCAATCTTTAAAAGAGCATTTTCAATTTGAGGCTTTAAATCTCTCTTCTCAATGGTTAAGGTAGTAAGGCTTCTAAAATCTGCAATACATTCTTTCTCATTAACTAATTTTCCATTTTGATCTATTGTATATTTTATAAATTTGATTCTCCTTACTAAAGTCCATTTTATCGGTAGAGGACAAGACTGAAGAGTACTTTTAAGTTCAGTTTTAATCGATTCACCAACAAATTTAATCATTGTATATGGACATTTGTTACAAGAATTGATGTGTCTTTTAAAATGACCAACAACATTTCTTTTACAGAAATTACAAGTCTTATGAGTTTGTAATATATGAGATTTTAGAGCCATGTTATTATCACAGATTATATCACAAACTTTGCACAGTTTCACCTTCATTTTATGTATTACCTTGTAGTGGCGAATCAGGTTGCTTTTTTTGGAGAGCGATGCAAAACAATGTTGACATGTAGTCTTCATTTTTATATATGTAATTAAAAAATAGGTTGGCATCTTCTATATAGTAGAAATTACATTTTGACAATTTCTATTAATGAGAAATAATAATTTGAATTAGAATTTTATATTTTAATATTCAAAACAATTTCATACAATAAGATTTGGCAATTGTAATTTTCTAAATCAAAACTAAATCCAAAATCTTAAATAAAAAATACTTTTTAGCAATTCAGATTGCTGAGTCTACATATATACAGAGTGAGTGTTACCTATTTTAAAGGGGACTTGACAAAATTATATAGTATAATTCAGCTAAGTTTTTAAATAATAACTTGTACACACTTTAGACTCAAAGTCCCCCGGTGCATAAAATTTGGCTATGTTTTTAAATAATAACTTGTGCACACTTTTGACTCAAAGTCCCCCCGTGAGTGAGTTTGGCTAAGTTTTTAAATAATAACTTGTGCACACTTTTGACTCAAAGTTCCCCCCGTGAGTAAATTTGGCTAAGTTTTAAAAAAATAACGTGTACAAACTTTTGACTCAAAGTTCCCCCGTGAGTGAATTTGGCTAAGTTTTAAAAAATAACTTGTATATATTTTTGACTCACTTAAAAATAGTAATAACAAAATAAGTTACTTTTTTGGATAGAGAAGCAGCACACAGTTGACATGTAACTAAAAAAACTAAGTTAGCATGTTCTATATGGTGGAAATTACATTTTAGACATTTCAATTAATGGGAAATAATAATTTAAATCAAAATTTTAAATTTTAATATTCAAAACAATTTAATACAATAAGATTTGGCAATTGTAATTTTCTAAATCAAAACTAAATCCAAAATCTTAAATAAAAATACTTTTTAGCAATTCAGAATACTGAGTCTACATATATACAGAGTGAGTGTTAGTTATAGAGAAGACTATGTTACCTATGTTAAAAGGGACTTGACAAAATTATATAGTGAGTATAATTCGGCTAAGTTTTTTAATAATAACTTGTACACATTTTGACTCAAAGTTCCCCAGTGCGTGAAGTTTGGCTAAGTTTTTAAATAATAACTTGTGCAAACTTTTGACTCAAAGTCCCCCTCATGAGTGAATTTGGCTAAGTTTTTTAAAATAGACTTATATACATTTTAAGTTCCTTAGTGACTGTTCAAAATACTCTAAGTGTTTAAAAATAGATTTATATACATTTTTATAAGTTCCTTAGTGACTCAATTCGGCTAAGTGTTTAAAAATGGACTCGGGAAATTAGCTACACTCCTAAGTTAAAAGAAATACAGAGTATGAGTAGCCTACAAGCATCAATTACATCACCAATTGATCCCATGACCCGACACGCGACAACATATTACATTAGTCTAGCTTAGATGTCAAAGACTTACCATAACAAGAAGATCCAGGTGGAAGAGTTAGTGATGATTCCGTAGAATGCCCCCCTTATATACCACAAAATTGTCTAAATTAATTTAGAACTTAACAATGGAAATTGAACAAACTGAAATTGAACAATTGAATAATTGAGGTCAATCAATCAAACATATTTGGCAATTGTCTAAACCTGCCCCAGACAGACTGGCGCCAGACAGGCAGAGAATGTTGACAATTGGTTTTGATTGGGGTCATTAGGTTACACTCACAGTCATTCATTTGAGTCAGGCATAGTTTACGCATAGCCATAAGCATGCCCGAGTTCACGCACAAACCTCACATGATTTTGAAAATATACATGGGAATGGATGTGGATTTGAAATTTTAATAGAGTTTGAACATTTATATAGGCTTGTATTGGACGAGATCCAGGTCTTTTAAAAAAGTGGCCAAAAAATGAGCCATATTCCAGACGTGATTTTTAGTATTAACAAAAGTAGAAAACTTATATAGGGGTGTATAGGTCGAGAGCTGGGTCTTTAAAAAAAGTGGCCAAAAAAAGCTCTTCCATTTTTTTCTCATTTTTCCCCTATAAAAAGTGCCCTAAAAGTGCCTCTAAAACGCCGAAAGTGGGGTCATATTGTCCTATTATATCTACTCCAGTATTCCAACCAAACAACACAAAACTGTGCTTTTATTATGCACGTAATCCGTGTATGCTTAGATATTACATGCTTAAAGATATTACACTTACAATCAGCTGGTGCAGCGTTTACCATTTCATTCAATGTTTGTATTTAACCTAACCTAAAAACGTGTTATACAGTGTTTGAAAGACTAATTATTCATAAGGTACTAGCTGTTACCCATGGGCTTCACCCCGTTTGACATCATAAGTATTATTAAAACTATTGATTGGTTGAGTTAACCTGAAATAAACAAACAAATAATCACGCCTGAGTTTAATCTATACTTATAAAAGGCAAAGCCCTCACTGACACACTCACTCACTCATCACTATAATTCTCCCACTTCCCATTTACCTAGGAGGCTGAAATTTGGTACACGGATTCTTTGGGCATTAAATAGGAAAACTAAGTTGTTTTTATTCTGATCGGACTCTCGGGCTCCGCCCCAGTGGCTCTGGAGTTTCCCATGTTAACCTTATGATTTTTCATATTTAAAAGGAATTAATGAATCTTATCAGCTGTTTCAATTAAACAAGTTGGTTCTGTTCTATGATGTTCAATAGCATTAAGGTTACAAGGATTACCAACAGAGTGCAGCACTATTTTTTTATTTTTTATTTATGACAACAGCTAATTTGCAACCAAAAGGTGAGTGAGGGTAGCGAACGAACTTCAACCTGGAGGCGAGTTAGCGTAGCGAACGAGCTAACCTGAAGGCAAGTGAGCGCAGCGAAGGAGCTCCAACCTAAAGGTGTGTGAGCGTAGTGAACAAACTTCAACCAGGACGTGATTGAGCCATGCGAACGAGCTCATCTTGAAAATTAAGAAGTTAAACGGGGCAAAGCCCGCGGGTACAGCTAGTAAGGTAATAAATTGAAAGAATAACAAACAAATAAGTACAGCTGAAGTATTTTTAACATTAGGTATATAAAAAGTTCCCTTTAGAAAGGAATTACGACCTTAAAGGGCAATTTATGAAATAATTGATAGTTTTGCGCAAGGTTTCTCGTCATGACAAACATTTTAAGTACCTATATGGTTTATGGGTGTGTGATTTGTAGTTTTCTCAAAAGTTCATGGGTACTTTTGGTTTTATATATAGATGATTTATAGTAACTGTAGGAGAAATATAATGTGTAACAGAAGTGCAAACTGCCTTTGCTGCACTTGAGAAACTTCTCCATTCCCCTACGGCTCATGCGTAAACATTTCCCTCGTGTGCAGCAAAGTTCCACTTCGCCTACTATAGGTCGGCCGCTTAGAAAACGACCTCCTCCAGCATTGGTTTAGCATTAGCACGCAGGTCGTTTTATAAGCGGCCGAACTATAGCTACACAAATAACTGTTTCAAATAACAATTTTATGTACAACTTTAGCAATACAAGCACGTGCTAAACTCACTGGCCTGGAGGTTTCTACCGGAGGTGGTGGTGGAGGTCTCTTTTTCCGAGCCTTAGGTCGAGCTCCGAGCACGCTCACGTCAGTCTCTGACTCCGGACTTGTCGGGGAATGATCATCAGCTTTCGTTTGGTTCTCAACGTCCAAGTTCAGCGGAAGAGTTAGACGTCCATTGAGTTGTGGAGACTGACTGTCTTCGTCTGCACTTTTTGCTGGAAAATAAACCAAAGGGTGAAATGAATACTGACAAGTATCCATTATAATAGATTTTAGATAGATAGAATAGAGAAGACTTATTACTGGAATTGGATCACCACTTTAAAGTGTGTATTTAATCTCTAGAATAAGGGATGTGTGTCAAATGGCCATTCTATATATCTGGGTTTGTAATATATTTCAATAGGTATTTCAAGAATCATTTGAAGTCATATCTATTGGTTGTAGTAAAATCATGTCATGGTCTTAAAAATCTCATCAGTACACTATGTTCAAAGGGTATAGTCAATGTATCTTTTTATTACTCCTCTAAGGCTAGTATTATACTAGGACGCTGGCGTCCGAGAGGCCAGCGTCCGGGACGCTAGCGGGGCATTAAATCAAATGGGGGCGATTATACTATGGATGCTAGCGTCGGATGCTAAAAAAGCCACCGAAAGCTCGAAATGATTACCGTAGGTGGCATGGTAAAACGTAGGCCCGGGACCGATTTACTTTTTCATTTTGATGTCGCCAGAGGCCAAAAACACCATCCGTTCGTATAGATTTGAATATTATATATATATATGTCTGTAAACGCGATAACTGGAGTAACTTTTGTTCTATTTTGAAAAAAATTGGTTTTAAGGTGAAGGGTGGGATAAATTTGAATGAGTTCGCAAACCAGCATGAACATATACCTTGGAAACGGGGTTTATGTGCTAAAAAGGGGGGTTTGTCATTTTTGACCCATAAAACTAAAAAATTCACAATTTCTCTCTAGATAATTTTAATAAGCTTAAAAACAAATAATTTAGTACCTATATTTAAGTGTTTTTGTACTGTTATTAGTTATGGAGAAAATTTAAAAAAGAGTATATTAAAATTGCCATGTTATTCTTATAGAAAATGTTGTTAAGTGTTGGAATTTGCTTGTGTATGGATATATTTCGATTAAACTTGGCCAATTTGTTTCATACTAAGCTAATAATACAGTATTTTACTAAAAAACACACTTTATTAGCCCCCTTAAAGCATAAAACCTTGGTACTCGTTAAACCTAATGCTATTTAATGTTACAAAAAGTGACTAAACATTGAAATAAAATGGCAGTCCGAGAGGCTAGCGTCCCAACACAAATCACGTAATTTATCGGGTCGAAGTGGGACGCTAGCGTCCCGGACGCCAGCCTCTCGGACGCTAGCGTCCTAGTATAATCCTGGCCTAAAGCTCATCAATAACTAACAAGGTTACATGAATTAGGAGTGCTTTTAATCTTTCAAAACTCTATACATACTTGTAGTATCAGTGTCTATCTAAATTCAGTGATTTGTGTTTAATGAAAATTGTTAATTGGTACTTTATCAAGAGAGAAGAAGCTTATTAATTGTTTGAAGGTGTAATTGTTTTGCTGTATTTTTTCATGTTTTGTCTTTTAAAACACACCTGAGGCGTTTTTTGATAGGTGAAAGACTGAAACCCTAGTCAATTGAAGGGTTGAGACCTAGTTAGAAAATAATAAGACATTAGTAATACTACAAGAGTCGGATTATCAAATGTTTTGACAGACCTAATCAGTTATGGTTATCAATTTATAAAACTGAAGTAGACATCCTAGCTATATGTACCAGCTGCAGCTTGTTTTCAGTATTTTTTACTCATAAAGAGCATAGTGACATGAGTCATTCACAGAGTGGGTTGGGGCCCAGGAATGCCAGAGGTTGAAAGTTTTTTTGGGGGGCGAAAGGGAAAGGAACAGTTCCCCGCGATGAAGAGTGGATGGGGCAAATAATTATCTCTTGCACCTATAGCACGTCACATGCAAACTGCGGGCCTGGAGTGCGCTACGATTTAAAAGTAGTAATTTTCCATGTAAAATATTTATAATCATTGATTAGATAATAAATATATTTTAGTTTGCAGAAGTTACTTTTAAGTATCAAGAAGTAGATAGTAATTTTCTGACTTAAGATAGGTAGACTAACCCAGCCTGTCATGTTTAGCCTACTTACTCTCTTGCTCTTGAGTGCTGATAGACCTCGAGAAGACTTGTTGTCTAATCTTCTCCTTGAGTTTTGGTGAGATGATGCGATAGTTAAAGTCCTCATGAAGACTGTTGCTTCTCGGTTGTAGACTTGCTTCTCTGTACGATGATGAATGTTCCAGTCTTTTCTTCTTTTTGGTGGCAAATTTCTCCACTGCCGTTTTTAAAACTGACAGCCGCCTTACAAGCTTCCCCTTAGGTGAAATGTTCAGAGCTGACCTGAAAATAATGTATTGATTTAGACTAGATCCATTCAACACTGACTGAAGATGAGTGTTGAGATTCTTGATTTGTTACTGACTAGGATCAACTGGTCCTTGAGCCAGGATTGTTTTCAAAGTCCAATGGTCAGAGAGACCCTAGACACCTGGGTCAGGGACCCTAGACACCTGGGTCAGGGACCCTATAGACACCTGGGTCCAGTTTTGAGCCGTCAAAAAGCTACCGTAAATTGACATAGGACGTAGGTAACTGTGTGTATTTGAACCCGAATACAAGTGAAGGCTCAGTGTAGAATGCAGTGAGATGATCTGTGTAGTTTTGTTACTGAGTGAGATCAGCTGTAACGTTGGCCAGGATAATACAATTAAACATTTTGTTAACAAGAACAGCTGGATCCAATTTTAAAATATCAAAAAGCTACAGATTTTTCTAAAACACTATATCCATTCAATTACCCAGCTATCTATTGTAAATTTGTTGCTTATATTGTTGGTCGGTATTGTTAGGCACATTAGTGCCTTGCACCACTACCACATACCAGGAACAATGTGACCTACTTTTTGCCACCCCTCACCCCCTCATTTGGTCTAACTACAGTTTTTTGTCAAGTACTGGTAAATTCCCTCACGTTTGGGAAGTAGGTCTTAAGACAGCATAGAGTCACCCGAGGTTTGTAAATTAATTTTTATTGTTCTTGTAAGTGTTGGCTGGCTGATGTTTTAATTCATTATTATCATTGACATTAAATTATTAAGAGAAATAATAAGCATCTGTGGCAAACTACTGTCAAATAAACATAATTATTAATTTAATTCAGTATTAATTGAATTGACTTGATAGAATTACAGCCATTTGAAATTGACACTGCAGTCACGTAGAAGAATCTAGTGATATCTCTTATCACGATTGCAATGTGACAGATTTAGACCAAAGGTCACCTCACCTTGCAAACAATGGCTTGATTGCAAATATCAGCTGTTGAATCTCACATCAACAATTACAATATCGAACAAGAAAAACTGTAAAGAAAAATAAAAACAACTCCCTCCTACTACTTTTATATATTTAAATATTGTATTTAAATATATTTGCTCCTTGCAATGCTCTCAAATGAATCTTTACAAATGTTGGTTGCCCCTGGGTTGGAAGAACTCCAGAAAATAAAAATATCAGACAGAGCTTTTTGGCAGTGGAAGCTTGATGTTATTGAAAAAATATGAGTGGGCCCTGCAAAATATAAATATTCCCAAAAGGTCCTTAGGGGACGCCCCAAAACCACAAACAGCACAACAACTATGTAATATTATAGCACTGGTACCATGAAAATTAAGTAACATTATGTTGACACCTTCAGATAAAATGTTTGCATTTACCAGACTCGTATGGTAATCCCGCACTCGACTTCGTCTCGCACAGGAACGACCACACTCGTCCGGTAAACACCTATTTTTGGGACTAATGATGTAATATTCTATTAAAATACAGTAAGTTGAGTAACTATTTTATAAACAAATATAGTAAACAACAAAACACCCTCTCATTCTCTTTCGTCAACTGATCTGCAAGGGTTATAAAAATATAAGCCAGAAATTTAAATCTATGGCCTCACTCCCGAGACTTTCTCTTTATGCAAATTTCCAATATAGGCAAGCTCAGGTGTTATGGTAATACCTAGTCCGATGACCTCTTTACTTTTTTGTTTTGAGGTCCCCAGAGAACTCATTGAGCAAGTCCTGAGATTAAATTCTTTATTTATAATTCAAAAACAAGAAAATTTGTTCAGGTTTACAACAGGTGTATTTATATATTTATAATAAACTGTGATATATTTTGCAATGTCAGCCCTGAAAATTCTCAAAGTGGTAACAATATCATCCCACTTGCATCATTGAACAAAAATGCCATTTGTCATGTTTAAATTGACACCGATATAAAAAGGTTGAGTGCAATGATGCACATTTACAGCACAGGGTCCTTGAGGAGATAAGCTATGACTCCATGTGATAAAATTAACAGAGCGCTCAAACATATGGTTATCTTTCAGCTAGTCAAATATCTCTCCTCTTATCTCCTATGACTTCAGCAGTCAGCTTATTCCTGATTGATATTCTCACTTCTCAGTCTGGGTCGTAAAACAATAATTATTGGCTATATACGGCAGTCTGAACCATTTTGAAGTTGAAGAAACAAGACAATTTTTATATTTAATATAAATGGGAAACTATGTGTTGGTATTTTTTTTTACTAGGGATGTCTATTTGATACATCTTGTTGTGTCTGGTAAATGGTTTATGACTTACACAAATAAATCATCAAATGTGATACCTGCATTGTATTGTGACATAGCTTGGCCATTGGTTTTAAGTTTTTATTTATTTATTTATTATCATTACGGTCCCTATATCAAAGATTGACAGGTGATTTGTCATCAAACTAAAAACTATTGTATCAACAACCATAATATTGAATAACTTACTTACAATTTCTTTCATTGTTGAAGGCAGCTTATTATAGATTTTGGGTCCCATATATATTAAACGAAAGTGGGATTAGCCACAGTGCCACTATAAATCCCATCTTTTCTCAAGTTTTCCTTTGACGAAACCAGACCGGTTTTCCTTCTTTATTTTCATAAAGAAGCCTGCACAGCCAAAGCTATTAACTAGCTAATTGTTGAAATCAACGGTGACGTCATGTGAGATCAGCTGATTTTATTTAGCAGCTAGACACCCAGATGTGGTTGATTTATCGTGAAGTCGATCCATATTGTGTATTTGGTGATTAAATAATGTTGGAAACGTTTTCCGTGAGTTTTTATAACTTAAATGTTTTAGTTGCCAAAATTGTATTGGTTATTTTGTGACGGCTATACAAAATCAAATCACTGTAAGATAAGGACGTGATGAAAAGATGTTTCTTTTAATTTGAGTAGGCTACCTGCCATCTGTAAGAAATGTCATTCATTGACTTACCATCCCAATATCATCCAATGATCTTCACTAAAGGTACAATTATATTTGAAAATCAATCACAAATTCTTTAGATGTTAAAAATTGGTCTAGATTTACAAATATCTGCCCGTAAAGGTTGAAGTTAGAAACGTGTGAAATTTAATAGCAACAGCCCATTCCTCCCTTAGTCCCTTACTGTCCCTGCATTCACATATTTAGCTTTAAATTTCTCCCAAACGTCTTTAAGGATTAATTTAGTGATTGATTACTACAAAATCATCAAAACATTTGGTGTACATGTTGTACGAAAACATGTATTTATATCATCTTAATTTGATACATTAGGACGATAGTTCTGTAAGGTCGTATTTTAAAAAATACATTAGGTATACAGTACTACACTGCACGAAAGTTCGGAACTAACTGGGCGTTTTAACTACAGTAACTATCAACCACGCACCAGACTCCATTTTAAAAAATTATTTTTCATTTGTCTCTATTGTCTTTGTAGAAGTGCCACACATAAGGAACAATATAATTAAACGAACGTGAAACAAGATACAAAACACAATTTGCATAGCTAAAACCACATTATTATTAATTTTGCAAACAATTACCGTTTCCATAAATTATCAATACGTTACTATTAGCTATGACAATAATGGAAAAGACGTACAAATTAGACCGTAATGTATTCTATTGAATGTGTTGTATAGTTTTTTGTTTGTGGGTTGCTTTCAGAAAATATTTGGCATGATTTACATAAATGTTGGTAAAGCTGAATTCCTAACCTATACCATCAACTTTTAACTCTGCAATTCTTCTCATACTATTGTAAAATATAGCTTGTTTTGGTGTCTGTTTGAAACGTTTTCGTGCATTTTTTTATTTTGCTGTATACAACCACAGAGAATATACCATGGGTGGTCTATTGTCTGTAATACAACTCACATTTAGGGCTCATTTTACAGTGGAGCATTGGCTCTTTGATTACAATATAGGACAAACATGATTTCACTAACTAAATTATTATGTGTTGTTTCTAACATTTATTAGTGTGTAAAAAGACGAAAAGTAAATAATAGTGAACTTACTAATACACTCATTCAACATATGAGCCTATACCGGGCAGAAATATATGGCCTAAAATGAATTCATTGTCTTCAGTTCATTGATAGAGATGTCATGTTGAAAGGGGATTATGTAGGGTACATGCCCTAACTTTGGTCTACAATTTTAAGAGTCCTCTTTGGAAGTAGTTTAAACTTTAAAGTGACATACCACGACGTCAAGATTGACCTCAAGGATGTCAAAGTCTTGGTTGAATCACAACACAGCTTGACAATGCAAGATATAGGGGCTCTTTAACTTGTACTAATAATAGACCTCTTGGATGAAAGGATTTGAACCAACGACTCATTTATAAAACATTATCTATCATTATCATTTTCACACTCGTCCTATACTTTGAAATGAATAGGGTTTGTGCATACGATTAAAAGAAACTACTCCAACGATTTTCCCAAAATTTTTGGGGAATCCCTTATTTTAGGATAAAAATAATATACATAGGCAAGATCCTGTTAAAGGAAAATTCAAGTTTCGTTAAAAATTCTAATTGAAATGGCTTGGATTCTAGTCGATTTAGAATAACTTGTAGCTTTTAAACTATATTTGCATATTCCGGGGAATTGCTGAATACCTACATTAATAGGTTAGTCTTATCTTACTGGGATAAGTACCTATTGTACTACTGTAGCTTTAGCTTTCGAAGCTCTTATCAAAGACCTCACGTCATTTATGACTGAACTAAATTCTAAGAACCTCTTTTCCACGTGAGAAGAAGTGGCACTCCTCTTCAGGTAAAATATTTCGTAATATTCTTAACAAAATTAAGTTTAAAGGTTTAATAATATTATTATTTTGTGTGCCATTGTAAGCATTGCTCTTTCTGTCGGCTCTTAGATAGCCATTTGAGTGATCCCAAATGACCAGTGGCATCTTGGTTGAGAATCGGCTCAGTTTGGGATCGAACCGGCAACATACAGATTAGAAGGCGATCACTAAATCCACTCGCCAACCCATACAATTATAATAATAACTAGGCTACACAACTGGTCTTGTCGTGAGAGCCGCGTCAAATTATTGGCAGACCTATATTTACACATTACACTACAATACCAGACGTTTCGCCCATGCCCGTCTGATAGACAAACAGTGTAAATACCAATTATAGTTCGGCCGCTTAGAAAACGACCTGCGCGCTAATGCTAAACCAATGCTGGAGGAGGTCGCTTTCTAAGCGGCCGGACTATAGACAAGGTTCTTACAGGAAACTCAACAATGTTGCGATGACACTGCCACTTAAGCTGCGAATGGAAAAAACAATAATAAGTTGACAGCCGTAGTTTTGCGCCACAATACAATACATATTTACAACAACAATTAACAATAACGTAGGTAACATACTTTTGCTCTCGTAAAATTAAAAGCCACATATCATCCCCACTTTACACCTAATCTGTTCATATTCATCTCAAAATACCTACGTACACTAAGTGCAGCATAACGCAGTGTAACTATTTATAAGAAGCAAATCGGAAATCCACTATGTATTTATTATTAAAAGGAGACTAGAGTTGGGACTCCTAGTCCCAGATTTGATCTTCAAGACCCTTTTATCATTCATTAAGCTCCAAAACTAATAATCTATGGAATAGTAAATAGTGGATTAACGACATATCGTACAGCTTAACTTATTTTAGGGTAACTATTGCATCATTCTTGAAGGTAAAACGAATCAATTAAAATTAAATTAGACAGTGATTTATTATAGTCTAGATATAACTTATTGTTCTAATTGTTTTGGGTCCGAGAAGTTGCTACAAATTGACCACCTTCACTTACCACGGCTTCTCCAGGAATGTAGCTTTAGGCTTGACCGCCTGCTGTTCCCTGGCGTTCCATGTGTTATACTTGTGTCTGCCGCTGGTCCTGGGGGGTGCCACGGGGGAGGCACACGCAGGGTCGTAGCTCTCGTCGAAGGGGTTGAGGTGTTCAGGGTAGTCACTCGTCACTCCACTCATGTCACTTGCAGTCACTTCAAGTAAGTTAGTGGGTGGCACAATTTCGACGCAATTTTCTTCAATTTCGCCAAATAGACGTTTCCGCCGAAGACGTCCGCAGGATATTTAAATTTTAAAACTTTCGGTAAACTTTTGAGATATTAGTTTGAGATAGACAAATCACCATCAACTCCCGATAATTATTGGTAAGAATAAGTCTAGTGTTTTTCCTGGTAGAGAAAAAATTATGTGCCCTTATTAACCAATGAATAAATTATATTTCAGTTGAAACCCCTATACTAACTTTTATCACTGTGGTCAAAAATCGACTGGCAAAGGCGCACTTGAGTGGTGTTCCCTAATTAATTTACAACCGACAAACAACAGTTGAATGTCAGTTTAATTGAGAAGCCGCTGCCAATTGACTCGTACTGACCAGAAGCGAACCAATCTACCACTTGAGAACTCAATAAGGAATCAGGCCAATCTCGTAGTCGGCTGGCAACAGCAGCGCAGCGCAGCGGTAGACGCCCGCTAGACGAGTGTACACGGCGGAGGTGGCTGCGTTATCACCAGAGTGTCACTATCAGAAGTGACGACGACAGTGCTGCTATCAATCGGGCAACTAGACAACTACAAGCTCACACCGTACCACCCTAGTGGAGATTTGAGTAACCATTGTCTGTGCGTAATAGAGCAAACCGCAAACCATTATAATACACTAGCTGGCCCGACAGACGTCGTCCTGTCCTAATGTGGTTTAATGTCAAAAGATCGTTCATTTTCAAGATGAGCTCGTTCGCATGGTTTACAGTTGTCGCAGCTTGTCTGGGCGCGCGGACCCTTGTGTACTAACCGTTCCCCACGCCAAAGCCATGAAGACAGCAGTGAGGCGCTGAACAACGCCAGAGTGCCGTGTGGGCCAGATGTTTTTGGAAATGAGCAATAAACACTCCCCTCTACACCCCGCACCCTAGCGGGGCCGCGCGCCCAGATTAGCTGCGACAACTGTAATCATGTCCTGCTTGAAGTTCGTTCGCTACGCTCACTCACCTTTAGGTGGGAGCTCGTTCACTGCGCTCACTTGCCTTCAGCTTAGCTCTTACGCTACGCTTACTCGCCTCCAGGTTGAAGTTCGTTCGCTACACTCACTCACCTTTAGGTTGGAAATTAGCTGTTGTCGTTGTCATAAATTAAAAAAAAAATATAGTGCTGCACCCTGTTGGTAAACCTATTAACTTTTTAATGTATTGAGCATCACAGAATCAAATTGATTAGTTGAACCAGCTGTTAAGATTCTTTAATTCCATTTAAATTTGAGTACTCATAAGGTTAACATGGGAAACTCCAGAGCCACTGGGGCGGAGCCCTTTTGACGGATCTGCACCAAACTTCACACAAACCATCCTTGAATAATGCTTAATAATGCCTGAAAGTGTCATTACAATCTGTCGAGCGGTTTCGGGGTCCTTAAAGGACAAACAAACAAACATACATACAAACAAACATACATTGGATTTTATATATAGACTAGCTGGCCCGACAGACGTCGTCCTGTCCTATTGTGGTTTTATGTCACATGCTCGTTCATTTTCAAGATGAGCTCGTTCGCATGGCTCAATCACGTCCTGGTTGAAGTTCGTTCGCTACGCTCACTTACCTTTAGGTTGGAGCTCGTTCGCTGCGCTCACTTGCCTTCAGGTTAGCTCGTTCGCTACGCTAACTCGCCTCCAGGTTGAAGTTCGTTCGCTACGCTCACTCACCTTTTGGTTGCAAATTAGCTGTTCTCATAAATTAAAAATAAATATAGTGCTGCACCCTGTTGGTAAACCTATTAACCTTTTAATGCTATTGAACATCACAGAATAAACTTGTTTAGTTGCACCAGCTGTTAAGATTCTTTAATTCCATTTAAATATGAGTACTCATAAGGTTAACATGGGAAACTCCAGAGCCACTGGGGCGGAGCCCTATTGACGGATCTGCACCAAACTTCACACAAACCATCCTTGAATAATGTTTAATAATGCCTGAAAGTTTCATTACAATCTGTCGAGCGGTTTTGGAGTCCATAAAGGACAAACATACAAATATACAAATATACAAATATACAAACATACAAACATACATTGGATTTTATATATATAGATTAAAGTACAGTATTACCATTGACTATTAGATTACATTGTCTGTGGTGCCACCCTACTTACTATTGATAATTCAAGCAATAACTTTGGGCCACTTTTCAAAAAGAGGGCAGCCACTTTAATAAGTACCTTTACATGTTATATTAGGTCTTGTTAGGTTTGTTTGTATCACCTTCGTTTTAATTTGGCAAATAGATGGTGGCCCCTTTAATATTTTTTCTTTTATAAGTTATAGATTTCTCCATCACGACTACGTTAATAGACATACAATATTATAATACAGTATATCACTAATCCCCTGCAAGAAAAAGAGCCAAAAATACTAAAAATATACAAGTTTCACTAAAACATATTTTTATATAAGATCAATGTAACTTACTGCATATGCCATTTTATAGCTGGTACTAGCACGATTTAGGTATACATAGAATCCCTTTGATAACATTCTGTGTATCTTATTCTGTTTTGCATTGCAAAATCCAAACCAACAAAACAAAAATAAAATAAAATTGCTTCTTAAAAAAATCGAGGTACTCTACCACAGTTAATTTTACCTTCGTTCAGTCACAAATTGCAGCAATTTATGTACACTGTAACGCCTTCCAAACGCTGGGTCTGTTAAGTACGTTGCATCGACGTGTTAGTGTGGTTTCTGTAGTCGCAGGCGTTGTAAAATTCTAACAACTGATGTTACATTTTGTGGATAGTTTTAAATTAGAAAAACTACTGTCGTACACACTCACACCTTCTTTCTTTGTACATAACAGTTTTTATAAACATATATTGTCGAACATTTGTTTTTTCAAATTTCCACGATTAAATGTGAACAAAAAAGTAGAACAAATGTGTTTATATTTAATTTTGGTTATAATATATGTGTGTGTTGTGTTTTTTTTAACTATCCAACAACAAAATATGGTACACGTTTTAATAACCAATCTGTAACGACAATGTTAAGTTATTTATTATGAATTTAATAGGACAAAATAATGTTGTAGAGTTTCTGTATAGTTAAATTTCCAATATTTTAACAGAGGAACATTTTTTCAGAAACTTGGTGGAAAACGTATTAAGAAAATAAACTAGTTTAAAAATAAATTTCAATTTTGGGTGTGTTTCCTTTTCAATATAAACAATCGATCCTATTTTATTGCTGATACGATAATGATCCTTTTCGAAGATATAGTTCGGCCGCTTAGAAAGCGACCTCCTTTAGCATTGGTTTAGCATTAGCCATATATACTTCTATGGCATTAGCACGCAGGTCGTTTTCTATGCGGCCGAACTATAGTTGTGGTACGTAAACAAACACAAGCGTATACGAGCTAAAAGCTATTATGATTTGAACTTATTTGAATATTTTCTATATAGTGCTAAATTATTACAAGAATTTGTTGGATTTTTTGTGTGCAGCAAATCGATCCCTAAATATTTATTTTTTAGGCATATTGGGTAACGATTAAAGCTCTTATCTCTAGATGTAACTTTTGCGGGTTTAGATTATATCTCGTAAAAGCCCTTCGTCCTACAGGCTTTCAAAATTTCACAGAGTCTATGCTGAATTCTGTTGTTAAGATTTGTTTACATCAAAACAGATGGCCAAAATACAGTTTCTTCTCTGTGGTTTACTTTAATACGAAAATAAGGTTATCTGTTCTAGTTGGTGATGTTTCAGTATTCAAGTAAAATATTGTAATGCTATTTGTATAAAATGTAAAGAAAAGAATGACTTACGTTGGATTTTGTGTTGTAACAAGGATTTTGTGTTTTCATTGTAAGTTTTATTGATGTTTTATAGTATTTAAGAAACATATTGTAATATTATTTGTTTAAAATGTAAAGAAGAGATTTTGTGTTTTCATAGTACGTTTCATTAGCATTTTGTAATTTTATGTCTCGAATAGATCGTGCAAGCAATCGAAATAATAGGGCACGCAATGCAAAATAGGGACATAATCATAAATAATCGTTTTTACCCTTATCAACTATACATAACATATATCACGGATTTTTAAGTCACGAAGTGACGCAGGCTGCTAATTTTGTATATATTTTTCAAAGCGACATAGGATTTTCGTAAATGTAGCACAACTTCATTATAACTAGACTTATTATTTTTTATTCCATTCCATGAGCATGTTTACAAGGTTAATGGTATTATGTTCAAGAGTAATTTAATCAGTTTCCTCTTGAACGGTCTTGGACCAGTATATTGCTAATGAGATCAGGTAAGTTGACTATAGTTTTTCTCTATGAAACACAGGGTGTTCGGAAATAAAAGGATTGAACGTTTATGTTGTTTGTTGAGACTTCAATAAAATCGTCGCTTCTCTATTAACTTCCTCATACATAACATTCATCGAATCTGTTTACCATTCATTACAATGAGAAACACTAGCTTAGCATTTGTTTCGTTGGCAACAGTGTTTCCACTTTCGGCATGATTGGTAGCAATGTTTCCTGATGGAGATGCACAGATGCACGATGTGGGTGAAGGCCTTCGTAATGATAAACTGAAACAACTGGGTCGGGTTGTTTGTATCGTTCACTAAATCTAGCTCCAAACCTTGGAATGAAATATCTACGTCCAGAGCGGTTGTACACAGTTTATTTTGTTAGAATTCTCATCATAGTGTCAGCGATTCTCAAGATGGCTTCAGGTAATTTTACTATTAGACGTCTTGGCCCTTCCAAATCGATGGAAAATAGTGCAGTATGTCAGTGAGCAAGGTGCATTTTATGTGCTATTACAGCATAACCTCGATAACAAGACTCTCATGGGAATTACTAAATAATACTTGTTATCAAGATTGACTTTTATCGAAATTTGCACTAGCGTGTGATTAAGGATGGATAAATTCTAGGTGGTTTTAAAATGTTACTTCTTATGAAGGACTTGTTATCTAAGTTCCACAAAATCATCAACGAGTAAATCGTACACTGTAAAATCCTTGAGTAAGAAATAAAACTAGTCAACCTAAACAACTTTTTATGTTACCAAAAATAACATACTTGTACATCAAGTTTAAGTTTTGCGATATGATGAGAAGTGTACGCACGTCGCATAGTGGTGGTTGAAAATCTGATTTGATAATCATTTTTAAAGAGTATTTAGTCTTTATTCTGCAACACTACAGTAGTACTTTATATGTGTTTATTTGCTATGAGGTGGTACGAATATTGGATGAAAGTTTGTAAACGAATCTTGGACCAAAGAAAAACGTAAATATAATTTTAAAATAGCCTCACGTCAGCAAATTTGCATAAGTGAATTTCCATTTGTCTATCGATTCCCAATTTAATCAACAGTAGGTTTGTCAATGCTTAGGATTGATACATTCACTATATGTGCTTTGCTATGAGGTGGTACGAATCTCAGATAAAAGTTTGTAATATTATTTAGGCTACTATGGACTTTAA